GTGGCCCCAGCTGGCCTGGAACTAGCTATATAGACCAGGCTGGCCTTGAACTCACAGAGATCTGCCTGCCTCTGCCTCCCAAGTGCTAGGACTAAAGGTGTGGACCAACACATTGGGCTTTCGGGAATGCTAAATCTTTATGTGATAAAAATCTTCACATCTTTCACTTTCAAAGGTACCTGGATTTTCTGTTCATATAAAACATTCCTTCAGAGCCAGGTGTAATCCAGCACTCCAGAGGCCAAGGCAGGAGAATATACGTTACACAGTAAGTTTGAAGCCAGCCTTGACTACAAAGAAAAAAATCCTTCAACTTGGTGCCTACTAACACTGTTAATAGTTTAGTTACTTACACTGAATCTTTAAGAGGAGTCTGGAGAGATGGATCAGCAATTTTGAGCATGCACAGCTCTTGCAGAGAACTCAAGTTCAGTTCCCAGCACCCATGTCAGGCAGCTCACAACCTGCAACTCCAGCTCCAGGGGATGTGGTGCCCTCTTCTGGCCTCCATGGGCACCTGTGCTCACATGTGCATATCTGTGGCATACTAGTCTGCACAGGCTACAGTAACAAGCATTACCGCCTGAGGCTCAAAGAACTGGACCCTCTTTTCCCACCACTCTGGGGTCTGAAAAGTACAAGGTCAGCAGAGACAGCTCCTGGCGCCCTTTCCCATTTACAGAGCCAACCTTTGGGGTGTGGCCCAGTGCATGGGTGGAGAGGGCTGTCCTCTTAGGAGGTCCTGCTGCAGCACCCTGGCGCCTCCTCTAGTCCCCACTGTCCCCAAAGGCCCTATCTCCAAACGGCATCCCAGGGGGAAGGAGGACAGGGCTTCACCATGTTACTGTGGGCTGGACACAGATACTCAACCCATAATATGGTTAGCTTAAAGCTAGCTACCCTGCAAAATCTCCAATTAGTTATGATTGGGTTTGGTTGGATTTCTTAGGATTTCACATTAAACAGTCTGGCCCTGTGACTGTAAATATAATTTTGCCCCCTCCCACTGTCGATCCTTAAGTCAGAGCTATGAAGTGGTGGTCTCCATCCTTTCCCCTGCCGCCACCGACCCCTGTATTAAGATCACAAGGCATAGGACAGTCCCACTTCTGTCTGATACACCCTCTTTATCAATCTTAATTGACTCATCTTACTGCAGGTGACTTTCACCTAGGGGTGGGGTGGCACAGGTCTAGCACAGGCTTCCGGGCCTGTCCCCCATCACTCTCAGGTTACCCCCAGATGGATTTTCCATAGCTCTTGGGGTGGGCCTGGCCATAGACATGTCCAGGCCGGAAGACATGGTCACCCTCTGCAGGGCTTTCTCAGAACCCCTGAGAGCCCAGAAAACAGGTTTCTGTTGTGTAAGTTGACCAGCTGTGGTTTTTATGGTAGCCTGAGTAGACTAATACTATATAAAGTTCAATTACTTTAAAAAACTAGAAATGGGGGCTGGAGAGATGGCTCAGTGGTTAAGAGTACTGACTACTCTTTCAGAGGCCCCAGGTTCGGTTCCCAGCACCCACATGGCAGCTAACAACCATATGAAACTCCAGTTCCAGGGGATCTAACCTCTGTGGGCACTGCATAACATGGGTGCACTTACATACATGCAAGCAATACACTCATACACATAAAAATGAATAATAAATAAATAAATACAATATGAAAAATAGAAATGGAAATTGAGGGGTCTTCATTCACATATATGACAATGGTGCCTAGGAAGACACAGGTCACAGGCCCTCCTCTGGCCTCCCCTGTGCGGTCAGCATCAGCACTCTAGCCACCCAGAGTCCCATCAGCATTCTGTTCTCCCAAGATCACCAGCTTTTTGCTTCATGACTGATGCCTACTTGCAGTCACCAGCCATCTCTCCCTCCTGTCTTCCAAGTTGTTAGGTTACAGAATTTCTTTTGGCTGTATGCCACAATTTTTTAACATCTATTCACTTTCTACATGGTGTGCTATTTGCTTTATTTCCTTTTAATGCCAGCTTTATTCAGAAACACCTCCTCATTTCCAAATAGTTACATTTATTTGTGTGTCCCCCCCTCCCCCAGTTTCTAGACATCTATTCTAAAAAAAAAAACCAGTAAGGAATATACACAGTTTGATGAACCAAGCAGTTCTGCAAGATGGCTCAGCAAAACTGCAGCTCCCACGCCCGCTGCCCTCCCAGATGTCTCCCCGACGGATTCCCTGAGCTGCTGATTAGGTATTTGATGGCACAGCACCATACACCTTGCTTCCTCTGTTTCTGATGTTTTCTGTTTTGTTTTATCTGCAGTACTGGAGACTAAGCCCAGGGCCTCCTGCTCTCCCATGTGTGGCAAACCTTCCTACCACTGAACTTCACCCTCAGCCCTGGAACGTTCTTTTCCAACTCAGACATCACCTACTGATTCTCCCTGAGGAGGCCATGCTTCACACCCTCTGCCTCCGGGACCACCTCTTATCAGAATCTTCTTGTAATTCCTGGGGTACAGTATCCAGTGAGAAAAAATGTGAAGCTGAAAAGGTTATAGTTGGTGGTCCTGTCCTGTGCCTGCCAGCCTGGCTGTCCGCCACTCCCAGGAACTCCTCTGGGTAGGACCTGCGGTTCTGTGACTGAGGTTTCATCCAGCTGGCTACTGGCACAGCCCTCAGAGCCATCTCTTCAAGGATGAGTTCACAGCAATCAGCAAAGGCTGAGAACCAGAGCGCCCCCACTGAGGGTGTGCTGTCAACTGTTACTTTCGAAAGGGAACTGAGGAAAATGTTGAGGCCACATTCTGTATCTGAACTCTACTCTCCAACCTGAATCTTTTTGTTATTTCATGTAAACCAGGCTAGCTTGAACTCACTATGTACTGGAGGATGGCCCTTGATACTCCTGCCTCTACCTCCTGTGTGCTAGGATTAGTGGTGTTTTATGTAAGGCTGGAGATCGAACCCAAGGCTTCACGCATGCTAGGCAAGCGCTCTATCAACTGCTTTTAAATTGAGTCTCATCTAAAGATCTCTGGAGTTCTTAGAATCCCTAATAACTGAGTGTCAGCCTCGCTTCCCAATGGCTTCCCCTGCTGAACTAAACAGCCTTCAGAAGCACTGAGAGTGGGACCCAGGGGCTGGAGAGAAACATCCCCAAGAGCCGGGAGCATGTCACTTGGGAGAAAGTGTTTCTGAAGCCACAGTGGAGCCCTGCAGGTGTCCTGGGCATCTGGAGAGGGGTGAACTGCCCTGAGGTTTGGGAACAGAGTGATCCTGCTGAGAAAGGAATAGTTAAGCATCAGTCAGTATTTTGTCACTCATGCCTGCTGGGGTGCAGCCTGTGCTCATAGAGATTCTGCAGACATTAGGAGGTCTGAGCCTCTGGCTGCCTGTACAGAGCCGTGGCAGGTGCACTAGGAGACGCCTCCATGTGTGTGCTCACCGTCCAGTTCTGAGCTGTTGGCCCTACAAAGGTAGAATGGCTGAGCCCCAAGGCCGCCCTAGTGGAGGCTCTATTGGCAACCTGTAGATGCTGACAGGAGAGTGAGTTTTCCTCACTGCTGTGCTGCCTGGTAGATTGGGCAGACTCCAGGGGATAGACCCACACTGAAGAGCACTTGGGGAACACAGATTAGACTTGATAGGCTTTTAAAAAATAATAATAATAGGGACTGGAGAGATGGCTCAGTGGTTAAGAGCACTGTCTGATCTTGCAGAGGACCCAGGGTCGGTTCCCAGCACCCACATGGCAGCTAACAACTGTCTGTAACTCCAGTTCCAGGGGATCTGATGGCCTCTTCTGGCGTCCACCGGCATTGCACAACCCGGGTGCACTTACATACATGCAGGCAATACACTTATATACATAAAATAATAAAAAATATAATAATAGAGGACATGAGGTGAGGGCATGGTGAGGTGGACCTGGAGAGGGGGAGGGTTCTGAATATGATCAAAACACAATGTATGATATCAATAAACACATTTTTTAAAAAAGAGCCCCAATGCTGGAGGAAACTGACCATGGAGCTCTGTTGGTGGAGAAGGAAGGACATTTTGGGTTCACCAGGAACTGTACAGGCCAAACGCAAATCGTCCCGCAGATTGCCTGTGGGCTCAAAAAGGCCCATGAAAGGACCCAGAGGCTTGGAGTGGCTCGCAGATGTCCATGAGAGGGGTATTGCCCTGAAGCCACTGCAGATGGCCAGGGCAGTCCAAGAACTTAGCTTACAGGATTTAGATCTGGGGATGGCAGAGCCAGACGGGGGTGGGGCATGGAGCTGCTGGGTCAGCAAGGGCGAGCAGTAAACCAGGGAGGAGGACAGCGTGGAGGAAGAGGACAGCGTGGGGGAGGCTGACCTTTGCAGGAGCTTGACACGGGACTGGCCACTCATGTCCAGGTCTTTCCTGCTGGCTAAGGGTGTGTTTCCAGGAGAGCTAGCCCGCATAGAAAGAGAGAGGCAGAGTCACCAGGAAGCTGCAGGCAGAGGAAGGGCCTGAAGGAAACGGGCTGCAGGGCGAGCCCCGCAGGGTTCCGGAAAAACTCCAATTCTGCAAACAGGGGGTCCGGCAGGGAAGCTGGTTCTGGAAGCGCTGGGGAAACAGGTCAGTGGAGGGTGCAGGCAAGTGCCTGCGACCCGGCCGGAGGCAGCGCTAGCTCTGCACCAACCGCGCACACCCGCGCTCAGGGAAGAAAGCGGGCATTGTTCGAGAATCCGCACCACAACCGTCTCCAGCAGCCCGTCTGAAAACCCCAGTGTAAACATTTTTGGAGCTGTCCTCGCGGAGGGTCCCGTTGCCGGGGTGACGCGATAAAGCCGGGTAGCCGCCCCAAGCTCCGCCTGTTTTCTTTTCCGAACTTTCCCGCAAGCGTAGAGGCCTGCGCCGCGCATGCGTACCATGTTGGGCGCGCGGCCCTGGTTGCCAGGGGTTACCAGATCTGCCCTGGGCCCGCCTTTCTCGCACTCTGGTTGGTAGCCCTGACTGTCCGTCGAAGCAGCTGCCACTGCTGATTGGACAGTGCCGGGTTTTTGCAGGCTGGCCTGGTCCTGCGGCTGGTCCGCTGGGCTCCCCTGGACGGACAGTCCTCCCCGCTGGGCAGGGACCTGCTGCTCGCGGCCTCGCGGGATCAGCTATCAGGAGGCCGGGGATGATCCTCGAGGAGAGGCCGGACGGCCAGGGCACCGGCGAGGACAGCGCCCGGGTGCAGGCGGCCCCGAGCGTCCTCAAGGTAGGGGCCGATGAGGGGTGTGGGTCCCCAGTCTCCCGCCCTGCTCCCCTGCTGGCCAGCTGGGGAAACTGAGGCTCCGAGGGGAGGCCGGAACCTGAATCCCACCTCCTCTGGGCTCCTGAAGCTAGGGATCCCCTTGATTCTGGGGAACACGGGAGGGTTGGTTCTGATCAGTGACAGCCCCCCCCCCCCCGCCGCCCCATCACCACCACCACCAAGCTGGTGTTTGTTTCTGACAACTGGAAAGCAGCGCCCTCTGCACACGTGGCTCCGTAGAATGTACCCTCCTGGACTTCACCAGGCACCTGGGCCTCTTGCCCCAACATCCACCCCTTCCAAAGTACCCAGCTCTTGGGCGTGAGTGCCTGGGCTTCCAGGAGTTCTCACTAGGTAAATGGGGGTAGAGTGGAGACCTGTTTCTGCTCTGCCTGAATGGGGGTGTTCTGTTGGTTGTGCTCACCTACCCCAGCCAGGGTATTTCCTGGGGGTCAGTGCAGGCTGTGGGATACCCCTGCTAACCCCACGGCAGGGGGCGGGGGCTGCTAAGCCAGAGACTTCGGTCACTAGTCTCAGGTGTCTACCGTGGCACTTTGCCCTTCTTCCTTCCTGGTGTCAAACTATGGTACTCGTGGCTCCTGATTGATTCTATTCAACTTTCATGTGTTTGTGGCTCAGATAGGTCTCCTAGGGGAGAGAGAGGGAGGGAGGGAGGGAGGGAGGGAGGCAAGCATCAGGATTTGGGTTGTAGGGAACTGACCAGAGATCTCTCAAGGACGCCTGCCCTGCCCACCCCCTGACATACCTGATGCCACAGTGACTAGCTGGCACTGGAAGATGAGGAACAGCCTGCACCGTGCCCTCCATGAACTCTCTTTTTCATGGGGTGGCCATGCCTGCAGGTAGCCTTTGGAAGGAGTACATGTTGCCTCAGGCAGCCTGTATGTCAAAGGTTTAGGGCTCTCTCAAGGAGCTGACCCAATAAGGGTAGGATGGGGAGGGCTTGGGGCTACCCTGCTCCTCCTTGGGTCTGTGCTGGGTAACTGTCTTTTCCTTTCTGTTAATCCTGGGACAGTCCACTTCTGGCCACTGGGTCTTTGGGTGGGAGGTGTTTATTTCTCTGTCCCTATCCCCTTTCCTTTCTGGCAATGGCCAGGCCCTGCCCTGGGTGGGTCACTTCTATTGGGATGTTACAGGCCATGGCTGGCTTTCCCTTTCCCAGAATTAAGCAGGAATTGTCACAGTGGAGGTCATAGCTAGAGGGCCTTTGTTTCCAGAGGGTGGAGAGGTTGCATCAGGAGAGAGGTGGTTACCCAGTGCCTGTGCCCTCCCTACTGGGAACTTCCTTCAGCCCAGTGTGGAAAATTGGGTGTTGGCCATCAGCTTCCAGAGTCCATCCAGTGCTATTGGTCTGGCTCTGGCTTGCTTATCCTGCCCTTCCCCTGGAACAGGTTAGGAGGCTGACATGGCCTCCTTGAGGGAGCCAAGGGTAAGGAGGCCAAGGACAGGTCCAGGGCCTGGGGTTAGTAGGCTCTGCAGAATCTGGAGTGCCTGTTACAGCAGCCCTCACCAGTGGAGGAGGGGCAGGGCCGAGCATGTTGCGCTGAGGCCCTCTGCTCAGCACATGCCCAGTCCTAGCGGCTCACCAGAACCTGGGATGCTGGAACCTTGTAGGATCTCAGGAAGGAGGGGCTCATCACTTCCTTAGTAGCTCTGATGAGGGAAGACTGTCCTGGCCTCAGCTTCCCTCCTTCACAGGCAAGATGGGCTGGAAAAGGAGCACAGACTCCGAAAGGCAGCTGCACAGTATGGGCCCAGAGGTACTATCTGCTCTGCCCCCATGCAGCCTGGTGCCAGCTGCACAAGTCCCCAGCAGGAGGTGGTATATGCCAGAGCTATTGTGCTTATGGCAGGGAGTGATCACTCGTCACCCCAGGAGTGCTTGGCAGCCTTCTTCCTTCAAAGCCCAGGCTCTCCTATGGGTTCTCTTCACTGACACACGTCTCTCTTGGAAAGCTGGCTCTACAGAAAGGAGCTGGGGCCACAAGGTGACTGGCTCCAGGAACCCCCTCCATGCCAGTGCAAAAACCTTCCTTAAGCCCACACAAGGGGCAGAGACTGTCATGTGCATGACAGTAAGCCACACTTTAAATGCATGGCCAGCATCAGCACTGCAGGAATTCACACACTCACTACCATTACTGCCACCAAATACATCATTTGGACCAGGGCCTTTGAGTCTCTGTGACTTCCTTTCCATTTGTTTGGGAACCATTGACCACTGGTAGAGATGTTACCCAGGGAAAGAGCCTTCTTGAAAAGTTCTTCCCACCAAGGTTTGGGCTGGCAGGTGACCCTGACAGGGTGAGAATCCTACATGGCCTAGGAAGCAGCTCGGTGACTTCAGGCTGTGCTGCTGTGTCCTGTACCCATGGTCCCCAACTCCCTGGCAGTTCTGGAAGGGATCCCACAGGCCATGACTGGGCTTGTGGTTGGAGAAAGGGGATGTCAGGAGCAACCCAGGCCATGCCTCTCACATTACACAAGAGGAGCTTTCATCACAGCAGGGCTGGCAAAGGGACACTGGAACCCAATGCCCTTATGTCTATATCCCAGTGTCAGGCACCTGCTACCTGAGCAGCACAGGTAGCAGCAGGACAGCTGCCTGCTGTCCATGACTCTTGGTATCTGAAGCCACACTACCTCAAAAGCCCGTGTAGGCAGAGCCCTGGAGCCAAGTCCCTTGGGCTGCAGAGGCAGGCCCTTTATTGAGGGCTCGTCCTGGGCCTTGGTGGTGGGCTCCCTGGAGAGGTGGCCTAGCCCTCAAGGCAAGCTGTACCACCTGTACAGATGGGCGGGGGAGTCCCCAGAGAATACCTGGTGGGGTCCGGCAGGGGCAGTCAGGAAGGACTTCCTGGTGGAGATTCACACTCTGGTTTGAATTGTGGGCCATTGGGAACCCGGTGTGAGGACAGTGGGCTATGTAGGGAGGCCCCTTGATGTGTGGGCCAGTTCACTGGCTGGGATAAGGAATGCCCAGTGGATCCCTTGTTCCCAGCTAGGCCTGCTCAGCCTCTCGGTGACACCAGCTCTAGTTCCAGCCCACGGTGACCACTTCCTTCCTCCCAAACAGGCAGAGGCTATCTGAGCTTGGCCAGGGTCAGCCTGGTGGGGGCTCAGTAGGCATGATCACCTGCTTCCTCCCCACAGGGCTGTGACTCCCTGGTGCAGACCCAGCATGGCCAGCTGCAGAGCTGTAGGGCTCATCTCCACCAGCAGATCAGCAAGGAGCTGCGGATGCGGGCAGGGGCTGAAAATCTCTACAGGTGAGCACCTTCTGTGTCTGGCTCTGGGCCAGAGTGGTGATCCAGAGAAGTACCTACCCATCATCCTTCAGGAAGAGGGACCCATGAGCAGATGGCCATGATATGGGCTGCCACCCAGGTCCTAGTGGGCACACTGTATGCTTTACCATTCAGCCTAGACAAACCAGACCCAGGCCTACCTCTGGGTCTCTCTGTGCTGGACTAGAGGGCAGAAACTGACAGCCTTTTTACAAGGTTCTGACAGCATCTGTGGCTTGGAGGCATCTCAGAAGAGGCTGTGAATGGCAGCTGACCAGGCACTCTGAGGTTGGGACCTTAGAAGGGATCTGACCCAGGACAGTTTCTTTCTTTCTTTCTTTCTTTCTTTCTTTCTTTCTTTCTTTCTTTCTTTCTTTCTTTTCTTTCTTTCTTTCTTTCTTTCTTTTTCTTTCTTTTTTTGAGACAGGGTTTCCCTGTAGCCCCAGCTGGCCTGGCATTCACTATGTAGACCAGGCTAGCCTCAAACTCACAGAGATCCACCTGTCTCTGCCACCCCAGTGCTTGGATTAAAGGCATGCATCACCATGCCCAGCTCTCAGGACAACCTTTTTCTCTAAGCACTATGTAACTACTCTGTGTACTCCAACCCTCCTCTCCCCGACAGCCCACACTGGGAAGCCCCTAGGCCATCACTTCCTCAGCACCCTCCTCCTCCCTGCCATCAGAGACCCTGAGTCCCTATGTCAGGCCTTCATTGCTCTGCCCAGAGTTCAGAGAACTTGTGTTGGTGTCACAGTGGAATACCTGTCATCTAAGAAAGCCACTTCTGAGCAAGAATCCAAGCTACTCAGGATGTGCACACACTGAGGGAGCACTGGAGAATGAGCTGTAGGAACAGACTTCACAGGAGAACAGGAGGGCACCTGTGGGCCAGCCCTTAGCCCTGTTGTCACCCTGACCCCAACAGTGGGGTCTAGTCCAGCAGTACATACCCCTCTACTGGGCTCTGGAGCTTGGGTAGGGCAGGAGAGCTTCTGTGGGCCTGGGGCACTAGATCTGCCTTAGGCCCAGGGCTTCTCACATCCTCTGACCTCTCCCAGAGCCACCAGCAACAGCTGGGTCAGAGAGACGGTTGCCTTGGAGCTGAGCTATGTCAACTCCAACCTGCAGCTGCTGAAGGAGGAGCTGGCGGGGCTGGGTAGCAGTGTGGACATGGACCAGCCAGAGAGGTACAGAACACCAGCCAGGGCATGCACATGTGGGGGTGCAGCTGGGTGGAAGGAACCTCAGGATAAGACCCCAGGCTGCTGTGGGCAGTAGGTCTGGAGCCCATGCTTCTGGTTCTAGTGAAAGTGTCACTGTTCCCATGATTCCCCTGGGTCTGAAGGAAACCAAGGAGTTGGACTGGGCCACAGCTCTGAAGGTAAGTGCTGGCTTGTGAGCTCTGAGGGACATGGCCCCAAGAGGGCCTTGTGAGTGCGCACTGGATGCGTCCTAATCTAACCATCTCACTGAACAGATGAGGAAACTAAATCCTGGAGGGAGGAAGGGCTGTCACACAGGGATGTAGCAGAAATCGCCAGAGACCTGGCATCCTGCCCTCCTGCCTCCTGCTACTCCTGGTCCCCACACCCTGGGCTACGTGCTGGATGCCAGTTTGAATTTAGGTCCTGCCCCAGGATAGCTATGAAGGGGCCTTTCTCTTCTGAGAGCCTCAGGACAGCCACGGGGTTCTAGGATCCCCTGCTGAGGGTCCCGCTGGCTCAAGGATGCCACCCAGCTGGAGCTGTGCCCTGAGAGCAGCGGGATCCTGAGTGACCTGGGGAGGGCTCTGACCCCAAAACAGGCCATGCCCCTTCTTCTAGGACTTGTAGGGCCCCATGGGAAGTGACTTGACCTTGTGGCTCAGTGTCAGAGTCTTCCACCCCAAGGTGACAGCACCTGCCTTTGGGATTGCCATGGGATTGAGAGAATTTGTGTAAAAATGGTACCACCAAAAACCCTGGCGCACCTCCATCACGAGGACCCAGGACTGGAGGCAGAACATCAACAACCGCCGATGCCCCAGGCCCCTTCAGCCTTCAGGTCCTCAGTCCTCCTTGGCCTGAAGTACACAGCCAGGCTACTCTTTACTGCCCCCACCCCACTATCCCCTGAACAGACTGCTGGGCATGAAGTGCCCCAGGCCAACACCTGTTCTTCTGTCAGGAGCTGATCACAGAGCACTTTGGAGAGGATGGTGCCTCCTATGAGACAGAGATCCAGGAACTAGAGGACTTGCGGCAGGTGTGTGGGCTGCACCCTGCCCCACCCTCTTGTCCTGGAGACCCGGGAAGACACCAAGGCATAGAAGAATAGAGTCTCCTGTTGGGAGCACAGGGAGACAGGCACAGCTGGGTTTGTGGAGGGGCCTGGGCCCACAGGTGGCTCTGCTCTGGCCTTACTCTGCTGCCCATGGAAGTGGCAGTGCCTGCCTCCTCCTCAGGACTCTACTTTGCCTCTTGCTCCAGGCTGCCTTCCTAGTCCCTGCGGTGTCCTGTGCTCCACCAGGCTGATGCCAGGGAGTTCCCAGGGTGGAAGGCTTGAATGGGGTGCTTTGGGACTGGGCTCAGCCAGCATCGCCCTCCCCCCACAGGCCACCCGGACCCCCAGCAGGGATGAGGTGGGCCTGGAACTGCTGGCAGCCTACTACAGCCAGCTCTGCTTCCTGGAGGCGCGTTTCTTCAGCCCTGCCAGGAGCCCCGGGCTGCTCTTCCACTGGTAGGGGGCTAGCACTGGAGGTGAAGACCGTGGGAGGGGAACCAGGTTGCCATGGGAACTGCAGCCAGCCTGACACCGCTCCACAGGTACGACTCGCTCACAGGGGTCCCGGCACAGCAGCGAGCTCTGGCCTTCGAGAAGGGCAGTGTGCTGTTTAACATTGGGGCACTCCACACGCAGATTGGGGCACGGCAGAACCGCTCCTGTGCTGAGGGGACCAGTCACGCCACTGAGTCCTTCCAGAGGGCTGCTGGTGAGGGGCACAGACCCACAGTGGGCCACTTCCCCAGCTGGGTAGGGTGTCCATCTCTGGAGCGGGAAATGGGGTGGGTGGAATGTGGCCTCTGTGTGAGAGATTTAGCACACAGGTCCTTCTTTGGAAGTTCAGAGGGCAGCCCAGGTGGGCATGGGGGAGCCCTGCCCCTGTGAGCATTCTCTCCAACTTCAGGGGCCTTCAGACTCCTGAGGGAGAAGTTCTCCCATGCACCAAGCCCAGACATGAGTGCCACCTCTCTCTCCATGCTGGAGCAGCTCATGGCCGCCCAGGCACAGGAGTGCATCTTCAAGGGCCTTTCTCTGTCAGCCTCTGCTGCCCCTGATAGCTGCCAGGCCCAGCTGCACCTAGCTCAGGAGGCTGCCCAGGTGAGTCCAAGGAGCCCTGCCCAAGTTGACTGAGTTGTATCCACTCAGTGGATGAAGAACAGGAGCTCAGTGGAATGGGCAGTCCAGAAGTCCCCAAAGCCAGTGGTTGTCCTGGTCTAGGAGTCCTGTAGCATGGATCAGAATGGGAGCTGAGGCTCACAATGCCCACTCTGGCTCAGCTTGGGTCATAGGGTGAGGCTGCTAAAATGCAGGTCAGAGTAGGTGCAGAGAGGCAGGGGACTTAGACTGCCTGCTTGGGGTTAGCTGGCCTTGTCCCTTGAGCTCCTGGGCCTGAGGGAGGACAGAGGCTTCAATGTGCCTACATGCCTGCTTGCAGGTGGCGACTGAGTATGGGCTTGTCCATCGGGCCATGTCCCAGCCACCTGTTCAAGACTACGTGCCCGCCTCCTGGACCACCCTGGCGCATGTCAAGGCTGAGCACTTCCGAGCCCTGGCCCACTACCATGCAGCAATGGCCCTTTGCAAAGGCTCCTGTGAGTGCACACCCCCCCCACGTGCCTATGTGTGCCCACAGAGGTTCTGTGCTTAGGGCTCATGGCCTCTCTGACCCCTAGCAGCAGCCAAGGGAGAACTCTCCAAGCAGGAGCAGATCTTCCAGGCCCCAACTTCCCATGAGCCCCGAGGCCCCACACTGCCACAGCAGCCGGAGGCGCGCAGGAGGCTCGGTGAGTCATCATAGATGGGCCTCTACTACATGTGGTAGACTGCCCCATAGTCACTCAGCAGCTGACAGCCCTGGACTGGTGGAAATTACCACAACCAGAGCCCTCAGGAGTGTGGGGCAGGTGGTGGCACAGCTGAGGTGCAGCTCCTCCCTAGCCCTGCTGCCACCTGGCAGAGCTTTTCTAAACTGGCCAACATTACCTGACCCTGGGGCCCATGTTCCTCCCTGATGCATCCTGGGTCATTGGGGCTGAGACCCAGCCTGGAAGGGTCAGCTGGCAGGGCACACAGGTGTGACAGCATTATGCCTATGCAGCCAAGGCCCATCTGAAGCGTGCCATCCTGGGCCAAGAGGAGGCGCTGCGGCTGCATGCTCTGTGCCGCGTCCTGCGCAAGGTGGACCTGCTGCACATTGTGGTGACCCAGGCACTGAGGCGCTCACTGGCTAAGTACTCAGAGCTTGAGCGTGAGGATGACTTCTTCGAGGCTGTGGAAGCCCCTGACATCCAACGTGAGCAGCCAGGGCCCCTGGGGATGTGTATACCAGTCAGGGAGCTGGGCCGAGCCCCTGGGGGTGGTGTTAAAGAGGCAGTCAGAAGCCAGGTGTGGTAGCCCATCCCTGTGACCCCAGCCTAGCACTGGGAAGGCTAAGACAGAAGGATGGAGAGTCAAGAGAGTTGGAAGCCAGCCTGGTTACCTAGTGACCCTGTGTGGTTGTGGGGAGGCAGGCTAAATGAGGAGTGGAGCTGGCAGGTGGGGGAATCAGGCTTCCTGTGCTGAGCATTTTAGCTATTTTATTTAATGCTCCCAACCACTTTACAGAATATACTACTGCTGTTCTCCTTTTATAACCCCCTTGCTACCTCCCTTCTCACTTGATTACTGCAAGAGGTGGGGTCTCAGAGGGACAGTGCCAGCTGGGGCTTCCAAGAGGACTCCTGGAGCCTCTACAGGTATTCCAGGACCTGGGGCAGTTCTGGCTGTCAGCAGGGATAGCTAGGCTTCCGGGCTGAGGAACGGCCAGTGTGTATTTGAGGGCCACCCACTCCTCTGAGCTAAGCCAAGTCCTACTGGCGAAACTGGCTCTGGGAGGACCAAGGACCTGGGGCTTAGCTTCATCTCTCCTTCCCCCACACCACCCGGTCAGCCAAGACCCACCAAGCGCCAGAGGTGAGAACACCCAGCCTGTCTCAGATGAAAGTGACTGACATCTTCCACCGCCTGGTGAGCAGTCCCATCAGCCCCTGCCATTTCCCCAGTAGACCCCAGCCTGCCCCTTCTCCCTGTGGCACCTCACCTGCTCCTGCCCCAGGATGTTCAGACTAAGGTGGGGTGCTAGACAGACCAGGGCTCCTTGCCTGCCACTCAGCCAGACCTCTACCCTTGCCTGCCCCAGGGACCCCTATCTGTTTTCTCAACCAAGAATCAGTGGCGGTTGTTAGGGCCTGTGCACATGACCCGAGGAGAAACTGGCTTTGGCTTCACACTTCGGGGAGACTCACCTGTCCTCATCGCTGCTGTAGTTCCCGGGGGTCAGGCTGAGGTAAAGCCCCACCCCTAGCCCTTGATAGAGACCCTAGGCTATCAACAGAGGTCTACTGCCACCTCACGGATCCACGTTCTCTGCAGGCTGCTGGCCTGAAGGAAGGTGACTACATCGTGTCTGTGAACGGGCAGCCTTGCAAATGGTGGAAACATGTGGAGGTGGTGGCACAGCTGAGGGGCATGGGTGAAGAGGGTGTGAACCTGCAGGTTGTGTCCCTATTGCCTGGACCTGAGCCACGCAGCACGGTGAGCTATGGGTCCCAGAGGAGATCCCCAACCTCTCAGACCTACCTGGCCCTGGGCTTTCCCCCTGGGTGCTCAAGAGGCCTCAGATGAAAGGTGGAAAGGTGGGCGGGTGACCTTCACTGCGGTGGCCATCTGGACAGTGAGGTCACATCATCTAGCATGGCCATTCCAAGTGCTCCTAACAGACCTACCGCTCCCAGAGGGCAGCCACCTCCCGGGCAGGCCACAGGCAATGGTGCTGGTTATTCCTGTCTCTGTCTTGGCTGCAGGGGGCCCGCCGGCCAGCACTGCTTCGGAGCCACAGAGAGTGTGGTTTTGAGACACCAACACCAGCACGTGCCAGACCCTGGCTTGTACTTGGCTGGAGCCGCAAGGCCAAGCAAGGCAAGATGGGAGGCCAGCCCCAGCCCTGCACCAGCGGTGACTGTGGCACCTGCCCCTGAGCTGGGCACCCTGTACCTCTCTGTGCCCAGGGTGGCTATAAGGGACAGATTCCTGTGTACATCAGCCCATCACCAGCTCCAGATGGCCAGATACGCCTGGTGCATTCTCTTCTTTACCCTGGGGGACCACCAGGCCATCCCCACCTTGCTTAGAGACAGAGCTGCCCATTTAAATGCTGAGATGAGATGAGTCTGAACCCAGTGCTGGGGGCCATGGCCACTTCACCCACTCCAACAATGTGTCCCACTGCCCTCTGGACACAGTGTTCACACAGCTGCCCCTCGGAGGAGGAGGGCAGCAGGGATGGTGCTGTCCTGAAGCAGACCTCTTGGCCCTATGCCAAACCCCACTCACCTACTGCTTTCCTGGCTGTAACTCAGGTCCAGTTGCCCTGGGCACATACACTTAGGGCCCTGCCCTAAAAAGAGCAAACTTATGCCCAGTGCACGGCACCCCCTGGGTACCATACACTGCCCTAAATGGTTCTCTGGCTGGTCGGCCTCTCTCCATGTAGGGACCCAGCCAAGGCCTTTTGCTTGCAGCCTTACAGCCCTCAACCCTCAGGGTTCCACCTTCCACCAAGCAAACATGTCTTCTGTCTGCCTTGTGTCTACTGTATCTGCTGTCTGTATCACCTCTCCCAACCCAGACCCTAGTCCTCCAAGTGCCATCAGCACTGCTGTCCCCAGGCTCCTCAGAAGGGTGGGTGGGCTCAGAACCTGGACTCCAGAGAGGGACAGAATGAGAAGGGCCACGGGGGGAGCAGTGCCGAGCTGTGGGCAGCAGAAGCTGTTGGCGCTCTCCAAAGACCCTGGTGGGTTTGGGCTGGAAACAGAATGGCTGGGGATGATGCAACTCAGTGGCAGAGCACTGCCCAGCATGCATGAAGCTCTGGGTTCAAGCCCCAGCACTAAATTAAAAATAAAATGATAAGGAATGGCCGGCCAGACGTTGTTCCCTGCAACCGCCAGGGGGCAGCTGCTGCCCACTCAAGCGGTCCTAGGAGGCTGCAGATCTTCCCCAGGGTGAATCTAAAGATCAAAGCGCCCAGTTCTGTAATCAGTGACCCACACCCTTTGGTCCACCCTCTCCTGAGGGCCCCCAGGTGGGAGCAGCCCATCCTATGCGCCAGGTCTGGTTTCAAGTCCGTCTGGGTCCTGCTGTCTGTCACCCCTTGCACACAATCAACCTTGTCAGGGTCCAGCGGGGAGGAAGGGTGACTGTAGGGTGTAGGCATGTAAGTTTGGAAGGTCCAAACAGCTGTCCATCTTCCAGTGCAGAAAGGAGAGGCTCCCAGGCCTGACTGGCCCTGGGGTGGGGCTCCAGATGTGTCCTTCCCCAACCATCTGCCCTCCTGGGACAATCCCCAACTCAGCAGAACTGCCAAGGTCACTCAGGCTCTCTCAGCACTTTTTAATTTGATTAATAAAACTGTGTGTCAAGGAGGCCATTATGTGGTAATCAGGGATGACAGGGTGGGTGGCCCTACCGGGGAGGAAAGTACACAAGCCCATGCACCCCCCCACACTGCCACTAACTCCCTGCACCATGGCTCCTAGCCACCACAGCCTCTCTTTGCTCCTGGGCCCCTGCAAACTGAGCCCTCCACCTCAGGCTACCAGACCCCAGCTCAAAAGTTTGACTGCTCCAGGAGTCTCTGCCCTGGTGACTCCTCCCAGCCAAGAGTAGGCCCGCCACACCCTCCTGTTTTGTGCCTGAATGGGTGAGCCTAGAGCTGGACCCCGCGGTGCCTGGGCCGGGCAGAGGCCCCCCACTGCCAGAGTGAAGAGTTCCTGGGGAATAGGGTTCCCTGGGTCAGGAGTTCTAGCTGGGCTAGGCCCGAGTGGCAAGGGAAGCCGCACTCAGCCCTTTATGTGAAACCTCCCAGACAGGAAAGCAGGTGTATGGAGCAAGGCCAGTGGGATTTTAGGCACTGTGGGAGCCAACCAGAGAGGTTGTGGATGCCAAGAGGGCACCAGCCCTGATCTCACCAACACATGGCAACTGTCCTGACGGGGCCAGCCGAAGGGTTCACCACCAAGAATGGATGAGATCGCCTGTGTGAGGACAGGTAGGCCCCTGCCTGGTTCTGGCCCTACTGCCCTGGCTTGAGTCTTCCCACCCATTCCCCAGGCTTTCCTAACCTGCAGCTGCTCAGCCTTCAGTCAGTGTCCCTCCCTGGGCAGCTCTTGCTTGGCCACACCCTCATCCTGGACTGTAGCCCCTTCTAGCCCAGTTACACTGTTTGTTGTGGATCACAACCGGGCCCCTGGCCACGAGAGGGCCTCGGCCAGCTGGTCCATGCGGACCATGACCACCTGAGGACGGCATGTGACATATGTCACACGTGCTGTCTGAGGGAGGGACAGGGACCTGCCTGTCTCCCCACAGCCCACGAAGAGGCATTTCCACAGGGGAGAGCCTGTGTGCTGACTGCACACACCTCCCGGACTCCGTACACCACACGGGGCTGCTTCATTCTCAGAGTGGCTCCCTGGGCGGGAGGCTGAGGCGTATACACCGCGATCCGTTCTGCTTTGCCATCAGAAAGCTGCCGAGATGGGAAAAGGCAAACTGTTTCGCTTGGGTCAGCAATGAGTGGCCTGGAGATTAATGTGGAAGAGGGAGGCGCAGAGGAAGAGAGGGCAGCAATGGCGTGTGGGCGGGGATGTGTAGATGGCTTAGGGATGGAATGGGGCCTTGGGCAGGGTGGGGGCCCAAGGATGAAGGAGGTGAGTGGGCAGGAGAACCCACTTCCTGTTATTCCTGTGTGTCCCTGCCTAAGCTCCTACTGCTCTGTTCCACCTCAGGACCTTCAGGGTTACTGCCAGCCAGGCCCCTCCTCTTCCATGTATGCTGTGAGTCTGAGACCCAGACCAGAGCCTCCAACCCACCATGCCCACTCCTCGCTGATATTTTATGTTGCCCACCATTCCCAACGGCCAGAGTTGTGTGAGCTCAGCTGCAGGCGTGGGAGCCAGTGGGCAGGTGAAGTCAGTGTATCACTCTCCCATTTAAGGGGGTATCACTGTCGTCCTCCGGTAAACTTAGACTGTCTGACTGGGATCATGTGACCTGCCTGATGGGGCAGCCCTGAAGTAGGAGCCCACAGTAAAGGGGATTTGGGGAAGTTTCTGGCTGGGAACTGGCTCTAAATAGGGAGCCTGGAATGCCAGACCACGCTGTGGAGAGAGGAGTGGGGGGTGGGGGGCTTCCCCAGAACAGCCTAGCACATCAACCTATCGTGTGGCCACTGGGTGGACAGATGCAGGGGGTGTGGCAGCAGGGGTTTGAGGGCCAGTGGTGGCCAAGCCACTATGAGGGACAGAAGTTGAGTTGTGTGTGCCTGTTTTGAAAGACCTGATGGTACCCTCGGAGGAGCTGGGTCCCCTACCCCCAGTCTGGGAAGTGAGGCTCCAGACTATACAAGCCAGGCTGAAAAGACACCACTAGGTCCCTGGGAAGCTGTGGTCAGATACAGGGGAGGGAAGACCTGAAATTAGGTTACCACCACTGCCATGACTCTCCCCCAACAGCCCAGACTCACGGGTCTACTGCAGGGCTTCCGGAGCACTGGGGGCTCAGGAGCCTGGCTTCTTCAGAGAAAAGACAGAAAGGTCCTTGGTCCTATTCACAGAGCAGAGGACACTAGCCAGGCCTACCAGGAGCTCAACTCTGTTTCAAGAAAAGTTCCTTTGAGCTGCCCTGTACCTCTAGATTCCTCAGATTCACAAAAGTCAACAACCACCTTCCTCAAGCTCCTCCCTCATATCTGGGAAGGTAAAGAGGCAGGGACACAGCCCAGCACCTGGAACCCACATCCTCAACATGCTGCTCTCATGTGACAGATGGAACAGGGTGTCCAGCTCTGTCCCCATCCACTCCTAAGGCCTGTATCCCACTTTCCCCCATCTATGGCAGTGCCCTGACCCTCCTCCCGTGTCCCCAGCCTCTTCATACTCCCCTTCCCCGTCTCCCCACCCCTTCTTCTCTCTCTAATCTCTATCTTCTTTCCTGTACCTTGTTCACCCTCCAGTACCCCATGTCCACCATCACCAGTCAGCTTTACCACCTGACCCCATCACCCCATCGAACCACTGCTCATATCAACATCACCCCACCCTTGCCATCACTGAAGTCAGCTTCACTGCCCATCCCCACCATGTCTTCTGTCAGCCTCATGCCCCTGCCATCACCAGCATCAACATCCTCAGTTTTGACCATCTTCACCATCTCTCATACCTCAGGCTCCAGCCTGGGCCTGGGCTGCCATGGGATTATGACTCCAGGAAGGGGGAAGGGCATGATGTGGTGGGCAGCGCAAGTGAGACCCTCTGGACACCAAGCAGATGAATTTTATGCTGAGTGTATGCTGGCTTGAGGGAGAGGCCAGAGGTCACCTGAAGCCCAGGAAAAGGTGACAGACTGGAGAAGGAATGGACAGCCTGGGAACCCTGGGGAGGAGTCTGTCGAGAATCTAGAGGTCTAGGAGAGCAAGAAAAAAGAGGAGGAGGTTGCTCTGGCCTGTCTGGGACAGGCCCAGCTGCTAAGGGCTGGGACAGGACTGTAGAACCTTGGCTAGAATGGAGGTGGGCAGCCCCCTTGCCGGCTGAAGTCCAGACTGGGGTGTGGACCCTGGACTGGTAGGAATGGGTTGAGCAAGAGGCCTGGTAAGTTTGAGGTCCAACCCCTTTGGGGTGGGGTCTCGGCCTCAGCTGTCAAGTCTGGTGCCAAGAACCCGGGGAGGCCTAGGGGCCTAGGCCCACTGCAGAGAGAAGGTCTGCAGCAGCCCTGACCAGCTCCTGCTCTGGGCACCCACCCCAGGGTGGCTCAGGCTCCATGCCCATGCATAATGCAGTATTTACCTGGGGGGTGATTGGCAGCCACTCTGACTCCCCTCCCCCGCAGCCCCCAGATGGTGAGCCAGACGTGCATTAAGGCGGGAGTGACTTATCGAGCTGTCAGGGGGAGCGTTTTAAGACAGAATTATAGGAGAGAGGAAAAAGATTTTTACCAAATTAATGAAAAATCAATCTGGCCTCAAAAATCCATTAGCCCTTCATAATGTGCCTGTTCCAGGCTGAGCCACACAGTCCGACATCAGCTGTTAAATACCGCGGTGGCTCCCCCGCGGCCCGTCATTCATTATGGGCAGGCGGTGTTTACTTCTGAGAGTGACACCTGCCCCCTTCATCAGCCCAGTGCTCCTGGCTCCATGGCCCACAGGAGGCCCCAGGCCTGGACCTCCATCCCGGAAGTGGCTATTGGCTCCCTGACATACACCTAGATGAGCAGGACCAGCCACAGGGTAAGGGTGTAGACCTCAGTGGATGGTGGTATAGATGGATTGGGAAAATGTCCTGCTGGTGATGGATGGTAGAATCTGTGAGAAAGGTGATGAGGGTGAGGCACCCATGATGGTCAGGTGATCACAGGGGTGAGGTGACCATGGGGTGAGGTGACCATGAGAATAGATGACCATGGAGTGAGGTGACCATGAGGTGAGGTGACCATGGGGTGAGGTGACCGTGGAATAAGGTGACCATGGGGTGAGGTGACTGTGAGAATAGATGACCATGGGGTGAGGTGACCATGGGGTGAGGAGACCATGGGGTGAGGTGACCATGAGGTGAGGTGACCGTGGGGTGAGGAGACCGTGGGGTGAGGCGACCATGGAATGAGGTGACCATGGGGTGAGGTGACCATGAGGTGAGGTGACCATGGGGTGAGGAGACCATGGGGTGAGGTGACCATGGGGTGAGGTGACCATGGGGTGAGGTGACCATGGAATGAGGTGACCATGGGGTGAGGTGACCATGGAATGAGGTGACCATGAGGTGAGGTGACCATGGGGTGAGGAGACCATGGGGTGAGGCGACCATGGAATGAGGTGACCATGGGGTGAGGTGACCATGGAATGAGGTGACCATGAGGTGAGGTGACCGTGGGGTGAGGAGACTGTGGGGTGAGGTGACCATGAGGATGAGGTGACCATGGAATGAGGTGACCATGGGGTGAGGTGACCATCGGGTGAGGTGACCATGGAGTGAGGTGACCATGGAGTAAGGTGATCATATGGTGAGGTGAACATGGGATGATGTAACCATGAGAATAGAGGACCATGAGGTGAGGTGACCATGGAGTGAGGTGACCATGAGGTGAAGTGACCATGAGGATAAGGTGACTCTGAGAGCGGTCATGGTAAAGGTGTTATTGCTGTGCACAGACAGAATGGGTGATGGGGTGAAGCTGGTGGTCACTGGCCACTTGTGGTAACAGCACTGTAAGTTGTTGGGAGGTGACTATGGGGACATAAAGGTGACCACATATAGGTGAGGACCTGGCAGTTCTCTCCTGTTCCTAGACTGTCTACAAAAGCAGGTAGCTTTCCTGTCCCTCCTTACCTCTAACAGGAGGGCAACTTGGACCCAGGACCTTGGGAAGAT